AACTCAACACTTGTAGCAGAAATAGATCTCATTATTAAAGAGTTCGCCCAGGGAAGTACTGCCACCTTACCTATTTCTGCCGCCAAGCAGTAATGTGAGCATTACTGCCGGTTTGAAGGGTAAAGCTGGTACTTGCGAAATTACGGGCACATGGGACTTGTCAATTTATGTCTCAGGGTGACAGACGCAGAGGCAGTGCCCCTCAGATCTTTGCGATTTAAGACTCTGAGTGGCACTGCCACTGTTATGGACAGGCATGTAGCTTACAATCAGATGCATGACTTGTTCTTCAAGTCACTTGATATTATTATAAATAGATATCTCACACGTAAGTTTTTGTAAGTCCAAATACCATTTTTTGATTTTTAAATTAAATATATCTTTTTCAATTATATTATAGTGTCCATGTTTGAAAGTAAACGTAGCACTAAGTGATTTCTTTACTTTTTTATATATGAAACTTATAATATACATACAAAAGGATATAGGTATTTAAATCGAAAAGCAAAAAATGATATTTTGACCCTACAACTGACGTGGAAAGTATCGATATATCCATTTTGTATAATTCAGTGAATTCAAATTTATACATGACTAATGAAATTGAAAGTAGTATGGAACATAGACAACAATTAACAAAGAACTAAATTCCATAAAGCTAACTTTTCTGATGACATACAAACTGACTGACAAACAAAACAAACAGTTGACACGTGTGACAGTAATGGTGATTCAGCATAGCATCTGCTCCAGTTTGAGGACAAGGATAAATTACGTGTATTTAGCGATTTGCCGATTGATCTATGCCGCTAAGATCATCTATAGTAATAGATTTTGTAACTTGATACACTTACTACTAGTCCAAACAGTACTAGTAATACATATTAATAATACCTATATTTCGACTCATCCGTAGAACAAAGACCTATGTGCAAGACTGCTTATTCTCAGGACATGTGCATTTCGTTAGCTGTGGATATCAGAGTGACCATTGATCGATTTTATATTTCCGAAACGAAGGAATACATCAAATTATGAAAACACCTATAGCTAGGCCTTATTTTGAATAAGGAGATTATGTATTTATTCTATTTTCGTTGTATAATCACATTGGACACTGTTCTTCGTTCGATAAGTCGATTTACATAAGTTTCTAGGAAGTAATACACATAGAATTGATTACCAGAATACCTGTTGCCGGAATTATTGTATTTTTCATTTTCTTCTGTATTTTTTATTTTGTTATTGTAAAGTTTTATTATTGTATCAAAAGTGCTTTTAACACACGGAAGCAGGGTTCGAAGTGATAATTATCACCATAATTAACTTGATATTTATAAAATTAATTGGAACAACTAAATCCAACCGCGTGGAATATCGTTCCATTTATTTGTATTCGAGACGCATTCAAACAACTCAATTGTCAATCTAAAAAAGGTAACGTATATTGAATACTTTTAGTTTATGTATATATCGTTGCCAGAGTGAAAACTTCGCGTATGCGTTTTCACATAGTTCGTTTTTACTGATTTTTGGTGAAGAAAAACTTATTTATTTATTTTATAAAAAAAATTCTTGCGAACTTACAGCTTGACGAACACGCCCGCAAGATATTGGATTAGAATATTGATTATAAAGTACTAATGATAATAATTAGAATAATAAAAGTAACAGACACAAAATAATATTGACAACAATTTGTATTCTAAATAGCTCTACAATAAAATAAATTAACAAAATGTACAATAGCGGCTATGAGTTGCGACCAACTGTCCGCGAACATATCAGCGACCCGGTCAAGAGGGGGAACTCGTTCAATAAGACAACCGCTCTAGTGGTTGATGCGTAGAAACCCTGTAGAGTACGCATTTTGTTTGGCATTGCAAAAAGGTTGCGTGCGTGCCGTACCAACCGACCCACCGCGCTAGTGTAACGATTTGGCACGAATAGACCCGTCTTTCTAAAACGGAAGGATTATCCATACCATGTCGTAAGAGCAGGCAGTAATGAGTAAGCAACATAACGAATTTATTTTTTATATTATGAGAAAGCACTCCCGCCTGTTCGGTCAAGAATGAGAGAGTTATAAACTTCTGTCCAAATATATTATTAAAGTAATATAGTATCTTAACGAAGTATAATTTAATTAATTAAAATGCTGACTACAAACATTATTGCGTTTACTTAATTTTACACCACATTTTTATCTTCGTTATGAAAAATTTCATAGAAATTACATACGAAGTATTCACTCGACGTCGATATATATATTCTCCGTATACTGATCTTTGCTTATTATAAAGCTGTATTTGCCAAATTTATTGCTAATAAGATATCGAACTTTGACGATGAAACGTGAATATATTCGGCCGTCTTTTGTACCATCTGCGATTAGGTTTTTTTTAGATAAGCCGCTATTCTAGAAAGCCTTCGACATTTTACAATTAATTCACCGATACAAAGCCTAGAGTTTTGAGTACAAATAACAACAACTCTTTAAAAATTTACTTAAGTATTGTAATGAAAATGCAGGTGTAGTACACTGTGGGTGGCCCTTGCACCTACATTGCCGAGTTCAATGTGAATTTGATTGATTCTGACAGCATTGTCCGAAAGAATGTGAACTTGACTTCTTACCGGATTATCTTTAAAAAATATACAAAGTTATACATTTACCGTTGCGTTGCATTTTGTACGCGGCAAGGTACATAAGTTTATCTTTCAATTACATGTTAGTAATTACTACCTTTAAGTAGCAGTAGAGCTCCTTGTGAAAGAGTTTGTCCAAGGAAGTGCTGACACCTTACCTATTTCTGCCGCCAAGCAGTAATGTCAGCGTTACTGTGTTATGGTTTTGAGTGGTGAGGGTGCTGGTGAAATTACGAGTGACGGGCGCAGGGACAGTGCCCCTCAGAAATTTGCGGCTTAAAGCTCTGAGTGGCACTGCAACGGTTATGATATTATAAAAAAAAATCTTATTCCATTACCAAGAAAGTCCAGACTATACAATCAATGACAATAATAATGCGCCAGCTTCTCCTGGGTTCGTTTTAGGGACATTGAGGAGAAACCTCTGTTAAGGTAAACTAAACAAAAGGCCTCAATTTGAAAAATATATGTATATCCTAAAACTTAATCAATTATTACAGGTTATCAAATTGGTGCTTTAGATCAGCAGAATTAATAATAATAATGTGCCAAACAATCACACCGATTACCCGGGGGTCTATTCTTATTCTCCATCCGACATTCATCCGAAACAATTACCGTCAAATAAGTGATTCTTGACCAAATTAAAATAAGCATGATTCAAAACTTCATAAACTTCATACTAGACAATATCTGCTGGCTTGGTAGAGTGCTACTTATTTGACAGTAATTGTTTCGGCTGGAGAACGGGAGTGCACCTCAGCTCGCAAACTAGGGATTTTCCTGTACTATGGATGAGAACCAGAGCAAACGGAATTAACTCCGGACACCTAAACTACTACTCTACTACTACTCAGATCACCTAAACTAGAATCAATTTAAATTGTTCATTTCTCAAATCGATCATATTGGAAATTGAACCTGAGACCTCCTAATCCATCGCCCACAGTTAAACGTTGAGCCACCGAGGTCGTCAATAGCATGACATTTTGTTTGAAAGCATTGCATGTTTCAAGGAGTACTTGTTAAGTATAATTTTGTACCCACTAGCATTGGTAAAAAGTGTTTTTCACTAACAAACAATATATGAGTCATGCATGCACTCTATCACTTATTTTTATTAAAAGGTTAGGTCGATAAAAGATTTACTCACTAAAGACGTAAAAACATTTTTACAACTCATAATTTACAATAAGCCAAATTCACAACATGATAAGACAGAAATGTGAAGAAACCATTTCCAGTTGGTACTGTTGGTAGTACTCAAACGTATGATGAAACAGTAAAACTTCTAACTAAAGCGTCATAAACGCTCAAAGACGCGAGAGCACACACACACACGCACTAAACGTAGCAAATCAATGAAAATTCTATCTAGTTTATTTATGCTCCTGTCTGTCACAAATATTTATATTTAAGCTCTGTTCCATTTGTAGCCATTTATGGTGGAAAGTAAAAACAAATATATTATTGTTATTTGTGATCGGTTAAGCTGATGCTTATTTACTTACAATTCGGTACTCGCCAACATGGAATGTGATTTTGTATTAAGAAAATCCCGAACACAGGGAATGACCACATTGTTAAATATAACATTGAAGGAAAATAAGCAATTAAAATGTTATTTGTAATTTTAAATTTTGATTGATTTGATATTCAATTTTCAAAAAAACACCGACCTCAAAAGTTTGTGGAAAATTTGGCAAATAAATGTATCTGTGTACCACGTAGATGTGCTTGCATAGATGTATCTATTTGCCAAGTTTTCTTGAGATTGGTTAACTGAAACTGGGTGAAATGTAATAAACTGCATTTATCCCCTTATTTGCCTCACCGTTCGACGGAGAATAGGAGAATTTTTGTTCAAATTTATTGGAATCACTACTGAGGTACCTCCTTTCTAACAAAAAAAAATCATAGAAATCGGTTCACAAAAGTCCGAGTAATCACGTAACATACTCACAAAAAACAATACATTCGAATTGAGAACCTCTTCCTTTTTTTGAAGTCCCGAATATAAAAGAAGAAAAAACATCCATATTTCCACAACAATTCACGCAAAAATTGCCATTTAAGTGTAAAAGCATCCGAATGTTCAACCACTAGATATCACCGGTGTTTTGAAGAAATGACGTAAGCGAATTAAAAAAAAAATAAACGTAATTAAAACTAAATTTGAATTATGGACGTAATGAAACAGGACGTAAATATTTAGAAATTGTCGTGAAAACCTAAAACATTGTCATATTTTTTTTTTCAAAATGTCGATTACGTCCTTTCTACACAGCACCGACGATGTAATGGTCGTATTTATTTAACGAATCCTTCCACATTTGTTGTTATTGTTTCAGACTCCTTACAACACTACTTCAAGATTCACAAATATGTGGGCAGTTAACTAACACAGAAGTTGGAAGTCCTGTAAGTGATTTAAAATTCTTTTACACATACGTTTGTATCGTGTGTTTTGTTCTTCCATGTGTTAGGAACACATAAAATAAGGGTGTGCAATGTATCATGTAAATATTTTTAACGAAGCTCTCATTTAATATAATTTTACTTTACTTTTTCGTATAACACAATTCACTTATTATTTAACGAACATTTAATATGAACTCTATATATAATTTCATTTTTGATAACAATCATAAACCCTGAGATACATAACTAAATATATTATTAAACTGAAATAAATTTGACCTAAACCATGTTCGGAATCGCAAACAAATTCAGTTCTGCTTTTTCATATACTAACCTAACATGACAGGTACAGGGTAAATATCTCGTAAAATTATCTGAATTGATAACGTAAAAATGACAATTCTTATGAAATGTTTATAAGAAATGTTTATGTTTTTCTTATAATATTTTTATTTAAAAAAAGAAAAGAACTTCAAACTTTGGTTATACGAAACTGAAACTAATAACAATCGGTTACCGGAAAGTGAGTGAAATCGGATCCATCCCCTAGTTTTCCACCTTTAGAAGTGGAAAATTTAAATGAAAAAAGAAATTTAAATGGGACCAATTAATACTGAGGTATCCTCTTTCCAGCAAAAAACACATCAAAATAGGTTCATAAATAAGTAAGTAAATAAGTAAAGTCATAAATAAATAAGTAAGTAAGAGTAATCGCGAAACATGCACACAAAAAAAATCGAATTATGAATCTCCTCCTTTTTGAAGTCGGTTAAAAATGTGAATATTATTACAGACGACAATTATTTGAAATTAAATTACAGTCCAAGTAAAAATCATATAAAAGAGCGTTAATATATCTATTAAAATTAGTTTTTTTCGGTTTCACTCAAATGAGGCGAATCAGTAATATAATAACACAAGAAAGGAAACAAACTATAATAAATAATAACAAGACTCTAGCTGTAGCATAAGCAAACACTATGGCACTCCTAAAAATAACATCATTATGTATTATTGAAGTCAATTTGAACAGAGATATATCGGATTCCATTGGCATAGTTGAAGGTCTTTGGTGACAGACCGAAACTGATCGTGGGCTTGCGTAAATTGTAAACAGTTGGTGATATCATGATCCGAATTATTTTTTTCAAATTAAAGTTAGTTTAAAAAATAACTATTTGAAAAAAAATTAAATGAAAAAGTTTTTTTTCATTTCATTCATCCCCTAGTTTGCCACCCTTAGAGGTGATATATTTTCTTTAAATTTAAATGGGACCACATTTGAGGTACCTTCTTTCCAACAAAAAAGAATCATCATCGTCTATTGTTTCACAAACCTGCACGAGTGAAACGCTGCAGGCCCGCGGCAGCCCCATCGGCATTGCCTGAAGCTGTTAGAATATTGTAGCACCCGAGAGATTAGAAAACTAAAAGTTCGCTATATTTTGTTACTATATTTCCATTTTAAATGTCAAGCCATTCCGATCGAGACAAAGGACAAAATAGTCTAGACGTATTGTATTTGTTAAATTGATAGATCGACGACTGCTAACATTGTAAAATGGTACTTTTGTATGTTGACAATTGATATATAAAAGTCAATGTCCCGAATCAATCAATTCATATGTTTGTGATCGGCTTTAATTTACAATTGTCAACTCAAGTTTGCAAATTACTTTTACCTTTCTGAGCTAGTACTTACATTATTTTTACCCATAATAGTTCTAGTGACACCTTTTAACTGTCTCTTAGGTTACAATTGATAAATAATTCAAAGTACAAAGAAACCCTAAAAATGTCGTCTATAAAATTGCAGTCTCCTCGATCGACGGAAATTGTACGGACGAATACAACAGCATACGCTTGGAGCTCGTGGGGCAGTTGGAGTCCGTGTTCCAGAACTTGCGGTGGTGGAGTCTCCATCCAGGAACGACAGTGTCTACCCAGAAATCCTTCTAGGTAAGAAATTTATGTGGTCAATTTCATGTTGAAAACTAATTGTGTAATCCAAACACGCATTGATAATTATCTTGATAAGTAAACCTTGATTCAATATATTTATAAAATTAATTGGAACAACAATATGCTACAGTTAGCAATGTCGTGCGATGTGTTGGTATCAGAGACGCATAGATTTATTAAATGTCAATCTTAAAAATAAAGTCGAAAAGTAAATCATTTTCCCAAAGATTTTTCTTCATATTTATGTATTTAATTTTCTCACTGTTTGTCATATTTAGGCAAAAATTATAGAGACAAAACTATGAATTAGCACGGAAAATTATCGAATTTGTTTCGGATAATTATCAAAGGTAATAAATCTTCTGATAATTTCAAACTCTGATTATACCTAATCAAATTAAAACTTAAAAACCCCCATATAAAGCAGGTACTCCAAAAAGTACTTTTAAATGTCAATTCTCGTTTGCTCTGAAATCACAAATGAGAAAACTAAAATAGTACAGCACCAACAACTGACCTGTGTACGTCTCCGTATATTCCAAAAATATTCTGGAATTATTGTAATAAAGATAATATCTCTAACAATAGGGCTGTTCCATTCGGTGGTATGGGAAAAAAAAAGCAAAACATCCAATTACAAAACAAACGGCCTCATATTTCATCGGTAATTAAATATTAAATATGTAATTTAGTAATTTTCGTCCATTATAGCAAAGCTCAAGATAAACTGGACGTATTGAAGTGAAACAATTTAAGACACCCGTCAATTATTTTGAATTCGGGCTGGCCAATCGGAGCGCAGTTGTCACAGTAATGATTTGGCAGAATAGTTTTCAAACAAATTAAATCACATTTCGTCTCTATTTCTGGTTATATACTCGATGACCGTGTCACATTACCGTGCAAACTATACAATCATAACATATACTATAGTCTTCATATTAATAAACGAAGAATCAAGGAGTTGGAATTTTATTTCTGGAACTTCCTGGAATTTCTGGAACTTTTACGTCTGCAGACTATCCTACTTGCAGCATCAGATCAAGGTTACCATATTATTGCAATGTCATCGGATTTCCATAGTATATCAAATTTCAAGTCGAACGGACAAATGAAAGAAATTAAATACAAATATTAATTTCATGACTGAGATCTACTTACTGGGAGAAGGGCTGATAATCTTTAGACAACTGAACAGATGTTCATGAAACACTGTTAACAATCATTCCAATTAAATTAGCCTTCAAATAAAAAAAACGCTTTTAATCAACCAGCCATTTAAGAGCTTTTAACTTATAACTCCCCTCTTTTTGCGTCGGGGATTAAAAAATCACGCAGTAGAAAAAGCAACAAACAATAATGGTTACATTGTCATTATATTAAATGTGTCATGTTCTACAAGTTAAATGTTGCTCTAATACATACGAAATCAGAAAAAAATGTTAAGGAAGCATTAAATCAAACGCAAAGATAAGAACACAATATATAACAATAAAAGATAAATCTAAAAACGACATTTAATCTCTGAAACATCGATAACGCGTTTGAAAACAACGATAAGATTACCAAATACAACAACTTAATCAGATCAAAAACGCCTATACCGTTTGATAAAAGATAACTTAATGAACCAAATGTTGCATCTTTAAAAAGCCATTTAATTGGAAACATACATTTTATAAGGCAGAATAAACCAAAGTTAAAATCGAATAACAAAAGCAGAGATACCATACCAAATTTAAGATAATAAAAAGACGTTCTTAAGTTTTTTCATTGCTACATATAGGAATTGAAACTATTTTTTGGAATCTAAATCACGAACGAAATTCTTTTTATTTTGATTAAAATTTTTGTTGAATAAAGATCATGAGCTATGCGACTTACATTATTAGTCTCGCTAATATCCTCATAAAAACAACAATGGAGTACACACGAAAATAAAATACACAAAAATGTTTACTTTAATTTGATTCGATCTTCAAAAACCATTATAATAAACAATGTTAACCACATTGATAATGTTGGATCATATTTTTCAACGAAAAAACTAGAATTGTGAATATTTTTATATTATACTTTTTCAAACATTGTTTTCAAAAATGTTTTGGAAAATTTCTACCATTTGGACATTTTCGGATAAATACACAACACTGCATGGATATCGGCTCTAAACGAGATATTTTACAATTGTGAACTGTAATTGATTAAGATGCCCAGTGACCCATTGAACTTGCTGCTCTTGCTACTCTTTATTGAGTTTCCATATTTATTTTTCTTTTAGCGTGTAAAAGGAAGCTGCGCATCTGGTCAAATTTTAAAAAGCGTTTGTCAATCAAAGTAAACATAAAAATCGTTCTTATTATAATTTGTTTACGGCTCAAAGACCAAATTCGTGTCTTGACACAGGAAAACAAATAACCAGACACATGAGGAAGATTAATGTGAATGTTATCACTTTTTTCTTCTATTGTTCGTGGGGTATTGTCTTAATTGTTTCGTTATAGAGGGTCGGTATAGGCTATTAAGATAAGATGTCTTGTCGTTCGGATTCGTTTTATATTGTTTGGGGAATAAAGTTGTTCGGTTTTAGTTGTAGGGTTTCCACATTTCCAAGTTACTGGTTACAGATTTTCTTTCTTTAAGAAATCTTTACGAAATTTCATTTAAAATTATTAGTTCTTTACCAAGTTATTAGATAAAACCTACAGAAAGTATATACTTCACGAATTTTGATTACACCAAATACCATTGAAAATGTTTCCGATTTAAAATTATTATTTTATTCAATAAATGTTTAATTGAGGAAGACATTATAGTATTCCAATATAATGTCGATCATTATAAATATGACAGTATGACAAGTGAATTACAATGAAATATACACAAATATCAATATACCAAAATTCTTTGTTAAAAATTGTTTATTACGTCTAATAAACACAGAGTTCATATTTGCAGTAAAAAAAAAAAATAAAAATATCGTAATGAATAAACTAAAACAAATGGTCAACCCTGCGTTGCCAAGGCTCAGGCGCGGGCGCACTATTGATCATAGATCACAATGATATCTAATGATACGGCGCGATCGATAAAGGAGCGAGTGCCCACCGCGGGAGAGCCTTCCTCACCACGCCGCGCGATCCTAGTCGATTAGATACCATTAGTTCTCGAATATACTACTAGAATTTAACGTTTCGAGATGTTTTCGATTACTTTTAATAAGTAGTAGTATGTATTATGTTATTATGTCTACAAGAGTTAAAGGAACAAAAATTTAAGTTAAAGTATGACCTTTTTTCCTCACATCTGTAACTGTATATTTTATTATGCAATTCACACTCGATAATTTTTTTACCAATAAACAGTATATTATTTACCTTGATTTGTGCTACTTATTTTTCTTCTATTTCTTCTATATCTGTTCAACGCCCCAACTTTGACTTTCTGATTTGATCCTATTTCTAGGCGAGTAAAATGCTGGCCTTAGCTAAGAAATAAAAAGACAGAAATACTGTCAATCGAGAACTTCTAGTTATCTACAAAGCTTGTAAAACGGTATCACAGCAGTTCACAGCACGATCGGCGCTCGGCCGATGTCATAATTTACTTGTTACGTTTTTACCGTTCCCGATGAAGTTATGAACAGCGTTGCGGAAAACATTGCATTGTATACTGAATAGATGGGTTTTTGAAATTATAATTAAATACAAATATAAATAATCCTGACTCCGGAGTTACTGGTTTTTTATACTTGTTACCATTTGCATCTGGTATAGAGGTTTGCAATTTCTTAATGTGGATAGGATCATCAACCAGATTATATCCGTAAAAAGGATGTTTTGTATAAAAAAATAAGTGCGCATTTGACATCCATCTCACCTGATGGAAAGTGACGATGAAGCGTGCACACCTAAATAATGCATATTCACTCTCGCCTTGCAAAGGTCCAAGTTACAACGTTCAGGGAACAAGTCTGCAGGCAGGGAATTCCACTCCATAGCCATTCGCCATATAAACGTGGAAGCGAAACCCTTCGTGCGAATTCTTAGAATATCTACAACATAGAGGTGGAACTCCAGCCTACGCCTGGTGCCCCGATGTTGGAAAGGGGAAGGCGGAATTAATTCGTGCAATTCCCTCGCACACTCTCTTCTGGGTCTGGCTAAAAGTACCCAAATAACTGTATAACACACATCATCATCATTATATGAACTGCTCGGCAGGGATCAGATTAAGGTCATAGTTCGCCGCGCAGGACAAGGGTGAGCCAGTTTTCGGAGTGTACACAGAAGAAATATGCTGTATGCTATTCCGTGACCTCACTTTGAGTCCTAACTGAAAATCAGTGCTGGTAACGCATTTTCCACGAAATAATACTGATTAGTGACCGTTATGTTTATGGTGGCCTTGCTTATGTGTATAATTTGTGTCTTAATTTTATTTTGTAATTATTTATTTATGTTTTACATTTGAATATTTTGATTATGTTTTGGTTTTCTTCTGCTTTTCTTCGTTTTTTTTTTGTGGTAAACAAATAAATACATTTTCTTCCTTCTTTCTTTCATCGTCACCGAGAAATACGTAACGTAGAATTCCCAATCCGAAAAGAAATCCGAATAAGTATTGTTGGCAGATATTGTAACTCGGACGAAGACGAAGCAACTGTTCTTCCACTGGCCTGCCAGCGCCCTATTTTATAAGTTAAAGGTGTAACACCTAACGCCATAAATACTTGGACTTTGACAGCCAAGCGATAATGGATGCGAATGGAAGAAGCGTACAAGGTATATCAGGATCAATAGCTTGTTGAAGTTGGTAAACTCTGTCTGCCACTCAGAAACTGGTGTCATCTTCGTTTAGTCGGGTCGTATGATTCTTGAAGCATGTGAAGTTATGCAACTACGGAGGAGTTAGAATAACACGCAAGATAACCTCCCACATTTCCAAGATATAAAAATCCCTATTCAAATCGGGCCAAGGTGGTGTTAAACTATTCT